TCTTATGCTCTTTTTTTTTTCTTTTTTAATAAATATGGCGAGTAAAGGACGTTTCTCTTATTTTCTTAAAACACTGCCTTGTTTTTTTTTTTTTTTTTTTTTTTTCTATTACTTGTTGTTCCACTCTATTGGAAAATAAAATAATATTTCTCGATTACATCGCAGAGTTTGTCTAACGCGTTTTCTTTTCTTAACTGTTATTTAAGATGTATGTTTCCTAAAGCGCATGTATTTACATTTACAACCGCACCCAACCGTTATATAATAATATGAATGTAAAATAATAATTCATTCGAAATACTGCTGTTCAGCGTTTGTTTTCTTTGTTTCTTTGTCGTTAGCGGCGTTTCTTCTTATTAATTACAAAGTTTTCCTAAATATGCAATTAAACGCGACACAGAGAAGGACATGCGCGCGTGCTATTAAAATAATCGTGTGGTGTTCTCTTTCAAAAAAAAAAAGAACGGAATAAAATCCATTGTTTATATATTTCGTAGAGAGTAATAAATAAGGCGTGCTAATAATAATATATCCTTCTTTCTGAGACATTTCATCGTCGTGATTAAACCACATATGGTAAATATATATAATTAGCGAATATGAAATAGGTCGTCGTTTTATTTATTTCTTTATTTGTTTCTCTGTTACTTGCTGTTGATCTTATTTCTTTTTTTCTTTTTTTTGGTTTTCATTTTTCTTTTTTTTTCTTTTTTTTTTAATTATCATTACTCTCCGTTTTTTCTTTTCTTTCAACGTCGTATATCTTACATTTAATTTCGTAAATCAAGATGGCCACGAGAGAAAGCAACATTATTATATTATATTATATTATAATAATAATAATAATAATAATAATAATAATAATCTAAAAATTATAATAATATTAATATTAATAATAAATAAGCGTGAGAGCAAAAAACAATCTAACTAACGATTTATTATTTGTATTAAGTTTAAAGATAAACTAACTAAGCAAACTATTAGTGTGCAACGCGATTAAACGTTCTCTTATTTTGTAAATTTAATTTTCAAATATATAAATACGCGTGTTAGATAATTATTTGTAACTATATCTGATCTCGTTATCTATCCTTTTTCCTTTCGTCGGATTGAATGCATTTAGTTATTTGTTCTCTCTCTCTCAGCCAACTTGATCTTCTACTTTTACCTGTATATTATCGTAAGTCATAGACAGTATTATTACGTTTATAGACGTTATACATATATATATACGTATATACATACATATACGTATATATGTATATATATAATATTATTACTATTATTATTATATATTAATGTCGTTAAGCACTGGCGAATAGAAATCATATTTATATACTTATATATATAAATTTTTTATATATATATATATATGTATATGTATATGTATGTATAGCGTGTCCACTTCTTTTTCGTACTTTCTCGTCGAAGAGTATTACAATATCCCATTTCTAATGGTTTTTTTTTTTTTTTGCTAATACCATGTAATAAGAGAGGTGTGTACAGCGTAATGAAATTTTGTCTTCTTTCTCAGCTCTCTCTCACCCCCCATCCCCTACATTCTTCACGTTTTAAATTCTTTAGCAATTTATTTTATTTTATTTCTTTTTTATGTTGTACCTTTGACTTTTATATTTATTATTTTCCACGGTAGTGTGCATTAATTTGTAGACGAATTGTATACGCGGGGGTGTTGTGATTTCTTTCCCGAAGGAGCATAAATAGACGGAAATATTATTCGAAGTTTTTTTTTTATAGAATAATGGATGTTATTTTCTTGAATTAAGAGAAACCAATTGTTTTATTGCGACGACGAGAGAATCTTATATATCGTATGTATATTGCACAAATTACGTAAGATATTCTATTTTTATAATCTATCTAATCGTTAGTATCGCGTTAGAAGAAAAAAAGGCGTTTATTTACTCTTGTTCTTGTTATCTTTTTTTTTTTTCTTGCAGTTGTTTGTTTGTTTGTTTCTCTGTATTTTTATACATATTATGCAAAAAATCTATAGTATCGTGAAGATCTAAAGGATAAGAGAGAAAGAGAGACAGATATGCGTATATATAAGCCGTTTTTAAAAGATCAACAAAAATTAACACCGGTTGAAACAATTGTACATTTTTTAATATCAAAGAATTTGATTAAGATTTTAGATTAAAAAATAAAAAAAAAATAAAGAAGAAGCAGAAGAAGAAGAAGTTTATTCAACAATTAGACTTTTAACACCGTTTAAAAATTAAATATAAATTAGTATGACCGATGAGAGTACTATAATAACATGATGATGCATTGTACGAATGAATATATTATAATAATTTACGAATTGTTTATACGTTTGGTTTTTTTCTCTTTATAGAAGATAATCGATTTGATAAATGAAGCGGCTTAT